GGCTTAAACTCACGCTGGGCGCGTGTGCGTGCGTGCCCAAGATCCCGAGAGGAGAATGGAGGAGAAGGGATTGCGGTGTGGCCATCCCCCCCTGGGGAGTGATTTCTCGCTTTCTGTCTCTATGTCTCTCTCTGTCTGGTGAGAGCACGCGCCCTATAGTGAAAACCTCTCAAAAAAAAAAAAACAAAAAAAACCCAAACATTCGAATGCGAGGGTTCGAACCCTGTCGTGCGGTTTGCCCTCAGTTTCTGCCCATCTGTCCCCCCGTACTGTCCGTCCAGTGCCATCTGTACCATCGGCACAGCAGCATGGCCAGCAGAGCTGCCTGCGGGCTTCCTTGGTCTCCTCCACCCGCACCACCCAGGAAAACCCCGAAGGCACAGGACTGGGCTGGAGGCCCAGGCTCCCGCCTCTCCCAGGCCGGCGTTAACCCTCTCCTCTCACAGCACGGCCGTCCTAAGCATACATGTGTGACACGTTGCCAGGTACCCTGCTGGAGCTGGGTCTGTTACACTCAGTGAGTTCTCCGCTCTAACACCTACCTCCCGATAATGACACCATCCTGATAATGACACCAACCCCTGATAATGACACCAACCCCGATAATGACACCATCCCGATAATGACACCAACCCCGATAATGACACCATCCCCCCTAATGACACCATCCCCGATAATGACACCCATAATGACCCCACCCCCCATAATGACACCAACCCCCCCGATAATGACACCAACCTATGATAATGACACCAACCCCCATAATGACACCAACCCCCCTGATAATGACACCATTCTCCTGATAATGACACCAACCCTCGATAATGACACCAACCCCCCCCATAATGACACCAACCCCTGATAATGACACTAACTTCCCCATAATGACGTCAACCTCCTGATAATGACACCATCCCCCCTGTAATGACACCATCCTCCCGATAACAACACCATCCCCCAATAATGACACCATCCCCCTGATAACAACGCCATCCCCCAATGATGATACCATCCCCCGATAATGACACCAACCTCCTGATAATGACACCAACCCCGATAATGACACCAACCCCCAC